CGAACAGGCCGCCCAGCACAGGGGGGTTGGGGGGGGTGGGTGGGTTTCTCGGTGGGTGGTTGATGGATGGGTGGGGCGGTTAGGTGGCTGGGTGACGGTGGGTGGGTGTGAATCAGGGGTGCGGGAATTGGTTGGGGGACCGGTTCGTGGTGGGTGGTGTGGGGGGGGAGGCGGGGTTGTCATGCAGGAATGGTCCCTGATGCATGCGACTTTTTCCGATGCTGCTCTTGGCTTCATGACCCATCCAGTCAGAAGTCCTAAGTCTTTCTAGGAACTTCACACGGCCACCGGGCCCATGCCACTGTGCCGCCGCATCAACCATGGAGTTCGTCGTGTTCTTGAAACTGTAAGCGGATTCAGAATCACTAGATGTCAGATTGTTTTGGTTAAGACTCGAAGCCATGGGGATGTCACGATCAGAGCCATCAGCTACGTTATGAAATCCGTTATTCCGTCTCACTGCTTACTGCGATAATCCGTCCTGTCGGATCTGGGCGAGCGGGATCGCTTTCCTTCCCGATCGAAGTCAGAGTCGGACTCGTCACTACCTGGAACGTGCGAAGTGGGGGTCGCACAAGGTTGCGGTGATGAAACCAAGGCTCGGGCTGCGTGCGGGAGAGATCGGGGTGAAAACGACCGTCGGGGACGTGGGATGCAAACTCTCCTGTCAGAGATGCGCATTTCACTGACTGAACAACTGACAAATGAACTGTCGGGCCAAGCCTTACTGTCCTTGAGCTTCTCTTCGTTGTCTTGCTGCGCCGAGCTCGCGGGTTCCTGCCAGCGGAGTCGTAGCCGGAGCCGCAGGACCTCATCCTCTTTCCTTGCCAGTGTCTGTCTCCAAAGCCCCGTTGCAGTGAGGACTTTCTCTTTGTACTTGACCTGTGCATCCTCGCGCCTCTTCAACCTGCTCTTGAACTTGTTTGTCATGTCCGTCTGGGCTTTGGAAACCTTCTCGTCGAACTTTTTCTTGTTCTCTTCTTTCTCTTTCGCCATCTGTGCCTGGTGCTCGGCGTTAATCTCTTTGATTTTGTTCTCATACATGGCAGTCAGTACCTTCATCTCCTTCTGGCTATCGTCGAACTTGTACCTGTACGTATCTTCCGTGATGGACAGCCTCTTAGCCCTTTCCTGGTTGTTTCTCTCATGCGTGTTCTCCAGTTCGTCCAGCATGTCCTCGCCTTTCTTCTTTAGAGCTGCCAGTTCGGCCTCGTGCTTCTTATTGTCGTCCGCAATCTTCGCCTCGTACATTTTCTTCGTCCAAATCGCTTCCTTCTCAACCTCCCTCAAGCGATCGATTTCCATGCGGTCCTTGTTATGCGTCAAGATGGCGAGCTTGTTGATAGCCGAATCCTGCTTCTCCGTGTGCTCCACCTCATTCTTCCATTGGTTGTACATCTGTTGCAACCTTCTGTTGCAGAGGCGCCTGATACCGCTGAAGTCATTGGCTGAGTGCTGCTTGTTCTTCTCAGCTTTCTTCCACTCAACTTTCCATTCATCCGGACGGGGTCGGAGTTCCTTTGTGAAGCCTTGCTTCGTTGGGTCCGTCTCTGTGTCGTCGTGGCTTCCTGCAGGGTTTTGGTGGCTTCCTGCAGGGTTTTGACTTCGACGCCAAGCCGCCCATTCCGCGTCGGTGTACACTTGCTCAGTCATGGCGCTAGTGGCGCCAAGAAAAAAACGGTGCGATTTCCTTGAATCTTGAGATGAAAAGCTGCTGCAGTCCGACATGTTGAGCTTGGAAGCAACCGACGGTGCAGCAGTCAAGTCTTGGTGTGGCTTAGGCCGGGGCTCTTCGAGGATCTCGATGCGCAGACTGTCTCAGCCTGGTTGGCCGGCGACAGACGGAAAGTGAGCAGAGAGATACTGAATCCATGCATGACTTTCCTGCCTCTTCCTTCCCTCACATCACTCCTTGCTGCCTGCTCATTCCTCGCATCTACAGTCACACCCTCATCTTGATCATTCCTTCTTCCTTCCCTGCTTCCTTCCCTGCTTCCTTCCTTCCTTCCTTGCTTCCTTCCTTGCTTCGTTAATTATTTTCGCTGTCTCTCTCTCTCTCTCTCTCTCTCTCTCTCTTTCTTTCTCTCTGCATCTGTCTTTGAGGATCCGGCTCACCCCTGCTCGGGGTTCATCCTCACCCCTGTTCGGGGTTCATCCACACCCCTGCATGGGGTTCTCACGACCCCTGTTCAGGGTCCAGGCTCACCCTTTTCGGGGTTCATCGGACGCCCCTGTGCGGGGCTCTAACGACCCCTGTTCGGGGTCCAAGCTCACCCCTGTTCGGGGTTCATCCACACCCCTGCACGGGGTTCTCACGACCCCTGTTCGGGGTCCAGGCTCACCCCTTTTCGGGGTTCATCCACACCCCTGTACGGGGCTCCGACGACCCCTGTTCGGGGTCCAAGCTCACCCCTATTCGGGGTTCATCCCGCAGCCCCTTCAAGGGCTTGGTGCGGGTACGCCCCTGCACGGGGCTCCGAAGACCTCTGATGTGGCGACCTGACATCCTGACAGAGCCTGCGCGAATGCCTAATTACAACTACTTTTGCCTGCTACCTTTAAACTTCTTTCCTGATCAATGCCTCCTTACCTACATGCCCGCCTACCTAGCTATCTAGAGACCTGGAAGCCTGCCGGTGCACCTAGACCTACAAGTACCTCCCTCCTGCCTATCTACTTATCTATACCTACCTGCAGGAGTGGGTGGGCGGGTTTGGGGGTTGGGTGGGATTACAGTTTAGGGTCCAGGGTTTAGGGCATGAGCTGGACGTTACGAAAGCTTAGATTCCCTTCATGTTTAATCATGAACACACACACACACTAATTTTCAAGTCGTTGTGAATCGTACAAAAAGCTGACTTTAGGGTTTCAGAACACAAAATCTCAAGCTTCTTGTTTTCGTTGAGCCACAAGAACACCAAGTTGCATTTGTTTGGTTTGCTCGGCACAAACGAATCTTCAAAATAACTTCAAAAATATCTTGCAACAAAGAAATTCCATGTGAACTACAAAACTTGGGACAGGCAATTATGTCAGTATGGCTTTGATTTTTCGATGTACATGTTTTCACATTTCGAACAAACCAAGTTTTTCAGGCATTGATTTTTCTATTGAGCCACAAGCACACATCTTTTTATACATGTCCAGCATCTCGCTCTTTCCATAGAGCCACAAGAACACACATGACGTAGGCCCAATGTTGCTGCAGTAGTTGCATTTGTTTTCCGTCCTGGCCCCCCCCTTCAGCACGACATCAGACATGTTGCTTTACGTGTCCTATATACACGTGTTCTGACATGTCCATCATGTCAGCAACAAGTGTCCTATATACACGTGTTCTTACATGTCCATCACACGTGTTCTTGCATGTCCATCATGTCAGCAACACGTGTCCTATATACACGTGTTCTTACATGTCCATCATGTCAGCAACACATGTCCTATATACACGTGTTCTTACATGTCCATCACACGTGTTCTTGCATGTCCATCATGTCAGCAACACGTGTCCTATATACACGTGTTCTTACATGTCCATCATGTCAGCAACACGTGTCCTATATACACGTGTTCTTACATGTCCATCATGTCAGCAACATAAATCCTAGGACTCGGTTCCATAACGGAAAGGACCCGGTTAGCCCCGGACTGGCATAAATTCTGGTTGACGTTGTTTCTCGGTGGCTGAGGCAAGGGCACTGCAACGGTCTTTCTCGAGCGACAAAACCTTTGCGGACTCTAGCAACTCGGTTGCGGCGGCTGGAAGAGGGTTTTCCTGGGCTCGGCGACTGTGCGAAGTCGTTTGTCTCGGAGCATCTGGCCGTGGAAGCCGTGGCCGAGCAGCAAGACGCTGGATGGTTGCGTGATCTCGGCATGCATTTTCGTTTGGATCGCGCCAGCCGTCCTCTGTACACATCTGGGCTGGATAGTAGTCGTGCTTACGCGGGCCTGAGGAATCTTTGCAATTCTTGCTATTTGAATTCTCTGTTGCAGTGCTTCTTCGGTTGCGCACCTCTGCGAGAAGACGTTTCTAACCAATCGCCGCCAGAGGGTCCTCTGGCCGCCCAGGTGCAGCATCTGTTTCCCCTATCCATCGGCCGACAGAAAAAAACGGATTCGATTGGTAGTTTCAAGCGGATTGGGTCCGATTGATATTTTCAAGCGGATCCACTAGTTTTCTGTGAAAACCAAGCGAAAGAAAAACCTAGCGGGGAACCAATAGCAGCATATAGCAAAAACCAAGCGGAGCATTCAGGAGCACGGGTGTTTGACCGGGCTTGAAGCCTGCGATTTCTGGTTTCACAGGTTTTCACAGATCTTCACAGGTTTTCACAGATCTTCACAGGTTTTCACAGATCTTCACAGAATTTCACAGATCTTCACAGAATTTCACAGATCTTCACAGACTAATCTGTGAAGATCTGTGAAATTCTGTGAAAACCTGTGAAATTCTGTGAAAACCTGTGAAGACCTGTGTGCTTCAGAATTCCGGGTTGGGCTCGATGTTTTGGTGTGCTGGGCACGGGAAACCAAGCGAAATCGTTGATGAAAAACCTTGCGGAATCGATGATAAAAACCTAGCGGAGAACCTAGCGGAGAAAATAGCATCCCAACCGATTCCTAGCGGGTCCGATAGAAAATGCCAAGCGCACATGGTATTTTCAAGCGCAGCAGAATCGATTGGTATTTTCAAGCGAAATCCAGTGTTTTTTCAAGCGTGCGATGGTTAGGGTCGGTAGCTGTCGGGGAAGGATGGACAGTGGGACTACGTCTCGCCGGCAGCAGTATTGCACCAGTTGTGGTTGACCGATGGGGCTGTTTTTCGGCCTGGCGAGAATGCTGATGTCGTCGAGTGCTGTCATGTGCTGCTGAATGCCTGTTTTTCGGAGACTGCATTCCGGGAACGTGGCGACCGTCCAGGCGGGTTGAGTTTGCGGGTTTTAACTGTATAGACGTGGGATCGTAACTTCATGTCGTGTTTTTTTTTTGATAGAGCGCAGGCCGACCTTCGCGTGAAGGTGGCATTTATCTGCTGCCCTGGATTGCTGGCAAGAGTGTGATAACGATCCCGGAGTTGCTGCAGGCGCACTTCAGCGAGGAGTCTTGGCCGTCCACATCGGCAGTCGTCTTTCGCTTGGAGCAGTGCTCGGGAAGGCGGTTGAGCTGGACTGATGTGGACGCGGCATGCAAGGGCGAGGCAGGTGGTCCTGTGCGGGCGTCGTACAGAGTGTCGGGTTTCATTTGGCACGGCAATGCACACTACGTGGCGTACCTGGTCTGTGGTAGACAATGGTATTGCTTGAACGATGCAGTGATTTCCGAGGTTGGTGTCGGTGATCTGCCTTCTGAAGCTTGCTTGGTTTTTATGGAGAAGACGATGCGCCGGAAAGGGAAGGCTGCAGGAGCTGGCCTTAGGCAAGTAAACAATCTTCCGGATCCTATTTGGCTGCGACTGCCGGGAGCTCTGGCGAAAGCAGTGATGCAGCCTTGTGTCGGCTGCGCGTGGGGCAGTTTGCTAGGCGCGTTGCGCTCCAGCGTGCGATCCGGATTGGAAAGCCGCTTGACAAGCTTGGCCGGCTGCAGCAGAGGTCCGGCCGGAACCATGAGCGCTCTGGCCGGAAGCAGGAGCGGTTTGGCCGGAAGCAGGAGCGGTCTGGCCGGAACCAGGAGCGGTTTGGCCAGAACCAAGAGCGGTCTGCCCAGAACCAGGAGCGCTCTGGCCGGAACCAGGAGCGGTCTGGCCGGAACCAGCAGCGGTCTGGCCAGAACCAGGAGCGGTCTGGCCAGAAGCAGGAGCGGTCTGGCCGGAACCAGGAGCGCTGTGGCCGGAACCAGGAGCGGTCTGGCCGGAACAGGAGCGGTCTGCCAGCAGCGGTCTGGCCAGAACCAGGAGCGCTCTGGCCGGAACCAGCAGCGGTCTGGCCGGAACCAGCAGCAGGAGCGGTCTGGCCGGAACCAGGAGCCCTCCGGAACCAGGAGCGGTTTGGCCGGAACCAGGAGCGGTCTGGCCGGAACCAGGAGCGGTCTGGCCGGAACCAGGAGTGGTCTGGCCGGCAAGATGGTCGCGAAGCCAGCGGCAAGACGAAGTCTTTTCGGCCAGAGCTTGGTCCAGCAATCTGGACGGCGGCAGGGGCGACCAAGCCAATGAGGCGGACAACCCTTTCAAGCGCTTTCAGCATGCGTCTCGGCTGCATGTGCACGAGGGCAAGGAGAAGCTGATGATGTGGCCGCAGAAGCCGCTTCAACTGGCGGAGCAGCCTTGTCTCCTCTGTGACGGCGTCGGCTTCGCGGTGCGGGAAGAACTTCTGGCTCACATCGACGAAATGCATGGAGGGTTGCAGAGATATCGGAACGCTTACCTGCACCTGGAGTCCTTGTGTCCGCACATCGTTGCAGGCTCCGAAGTGCTACACTATGTGAGCAACTACGCCGAGTTTTTGCGTCGGTCCGCCATGGACTGGGAGGCATCGGCGCTGTCGTGCGCGCGGGAGCGGATCGGATGTGCTTTCTGTGCAAGGTGCTTTTGGCGCGAATCCATGCAAGAGTGTTTTTTGAAGGGACCAAAATGTTTTATGGCAGCGGCAGAAACTGTCTGGGAGATGTTGTCCGTCAAACGTTACCACGAGAGATGGCCGCTCATTCCGACGAAGGACGGGTTTGGCAGTGTCTGTGATTCGTGATGTAGGCCAGCACGAGGGTCCGGGGTGGGATTTGCGCGTGTTCACTGCTGCCAGGAGTTAGAAGCCTCGAGTGTCGACGTGGGCACGGCTCGATGTCCTGTTCTTGTCTTGCTGCACAAACGCCGAGTAACGGGTGATATGGCGCGGGGGAATTCTCCTGCGGCTGTATGTGAAGATTGCGTGGAGGCTTTTTCGGGGCGGAAGCCTTGGCTTTGCAAATACGCCCTGGCGAACGATCTGTGCAACCGATCCATTACTCTGGAAAGCCAACATGACACACGAAATGTGTCTGGCGTTGGCGAGGACTGTTGCCACGAAAGTAGTGTTGCGCGCTGGCGGCGCCTCTCAAACCGAGAGCAGCAACAGGCCGAGCAACTCGTGGGACTACGTCTTTCAGCAGTCCGGTTTGGTGGGATCTGCGGTTGTTTTCCATAACGGGGATGCCGAGTATGCGCTGGAGAGCTTGCCACCTACTAAGCTCAACGACGCTTTGGCAGTATCCTTTTGCGTGGACCTGCCAAGCGCGGGAATGCAGGAGCAAAGCAGGGCGACGGTGAGCCGAATAGCGCGGCTGCAGCTTCACAGGCAGGAGTTTGTCCAGCAAGCTGAAGCTTTGCGAGAGACGAACCCGGTCTATCGAAGTGGCGTGGCCGAAATCAATCGAGAGCTGTTGGCTGAATGGTTTTCCAGCGAGGACTTATTCGTTTGTCAGTGTTGTCTTGTCTGCTAAGCACATGTCACATAAAGAAACGCAGATCGCATCGAAAGATTGCAGGAATCTGTCGTGCCTCCTCCGGTGCTGGACTGTGTGGTGGCTGTTCCTGTTGGCGAGGACGGGCCCGGCGTGGTTCGGCAAACCGGGCCAGCGGAGGCAACTGAAGTTGTCCAGCGCGCTCGAGATTCTTCCGAGTCCGAGACCTGCGTGCTCGCCATGGAGCCGCAGGTGGAGGACTTCAATTCCCGCGGCCGAGAAATCTCTATGCTGGTCGTGAGCATGTTGCAGAAGTTGGAAGAACTGCAAGATGCTGGCGCTCGGTCTGTTGCTCTGGAGATGGAAACTATGGCGGAGGAGCAGCGCACTCTGGTGGATCACTTGGGCCGCCAACACATTCTGGAACTCTGCCTCCAGATTCACGAGTCTTGCAGGCAACTTTCCGCTGCGGAGAAGCAAAGTCGTCTGGAGCGCGAGTTGCGAGATGCCGTCATGGGCAAGTCTCGATGGTTGAATGCTTCGGAAGCAGCTGTCGCGCCACGTGTTGCGTAACAGGAGGATGATCGGCCTGCGCCGGAAGCAGATCATGTGCATGGAGATGCAGCGGAGGAGGACGGTCAGGCTGCGCATTTGTTGGTGGCACGTGGCAAGCAGCCATTGAGTTTGTGGGATTGGAAGATTTGGACGATGGCCAAGCCGAGGTTGTGGCGATATGGTGATGCTGGATATCTCTTCGAGAGGGACACAAACCTGTCTACTTCCGAGTGGGCCGCCTGTCTGCTTTTACGCGAAGAGCTTGCTTATGCTGTCGACGGGGAGCCTGATGAAGGGGATGCGGCGTTGCGACCCGTATTGGGAAGTCAGCCCGCGTCGGATCCTTCGGAGGCAGTGCGACCCGTATTGGGGAGCCAGCCCACGCAAAATCGTTTCTCCGGCGATTGGACAGCATTACACATGATGGCGACTGTGTCTCGTTTGACTGATCAACGCTCTGCTGCATACAATTTCCTGAAAAACGGTGGCATGGCATTTGCGAAGAAACTACGGGAACTCAGCGCAGAGGATCTCGCCAGTGCCGCCCGCGCCGCGCCGCAGGCCGGGGGTACGGATCAGTTCTTCAAAGAAGCTGCAGTGCCGCAGACAGTGAAGGATGCGTTGCACGCCATGAATGCGGCTTCTGCCACAGTGTTGGGCACCGATGGTCATCGTCGACTGTGTCGGCACGAGGGCGTCGCTTACATGGAAGCGTTCGGACCTCCGTTGATTTTCCTGACTCCAAACGTAGCGGATACTCAGCATCCGTTGCTTCTGGTGGTTCAAGGGGAAGTCGTCGATCTGGGTGCTGTGAACGGAGATATGGAAACAGTCTTGCCAAAGTATCGGGACATGCTGCGACGCTTGGCACAGGATCCTGTCGCTCAGACCGTTCAGTTCGAGCTTTTGATGCGTCTGTTTTTCCAGCATGTCCTGAATGTTCGACCAGACACACTGGACTGCCGACGCAACGCGCCTCGCCGCGGAGCGAGGGAGTGGTGCAGCGATGGTGCAGCGGCGGCTTCTACTGGTGCTGGCATGTTGGGTCCCATTCTGGCTTTCCGCGGCGAAATCGAAGCTCAGGGTCGGGGATCTTTGCATCCTCACATTTTGGTTTGGCTCGTTTGTCGTCATATGCAAGTTGTGAGCGATCTGGCGAGAATGCTGCGCGAAGAGAAACATGTGCTTCAAGAACGCCTCCGAACTTTCATGCGCATGACAGTCGCCAGCTTCGAATCCATAGCCCATGCATCGGTGCAAGCTGCGCCGCGCATTTTCGGCGTCAGCTCTGTGGCGCGCAACTTGTGCAAGTATGATGGCGGGTGCGATTTGGATTTGTTGAGAGAGATGACGGACTTGTCCGAAGACCAGCAACGATTTCTTCGTGCTTCTTCAGAAGAGGACTGGCAGCGACCCGAAATGCATCTGGAGGATTCGACAGGCGGCGCTTCGTCGATTTTCACTTCTCCGATTAACTGTCTGCCAGTGGCGCAGACTCCAGGCTATCGCCTGCGGAGTGTGCTCGCCGCTGAAGCAGACCCGGCAGCTGATGCCGATGCGTGGCAGTTGGCGTTTTGCCAGGCGCCTAGGCATTTCACGTAGTGCGGTCTAGATCCTGAATGGTGTTCGCAATCGAGTTTCTTCGTTGTGGGAGTCTTGTAATGCGCGAGGATCTGCACGATCTGGCTCCTTCGCTCCTGAAGCACATGTGCAGCGAGTCGTGCTACAAGTATTCGGATTCCTCTGCGACTCGATGGAAGATCTGTCGGCACGGCTATTATCACGTGGTCGTTTTGTGTGAAGGCTGCCGAGCACGTCGCAAAGGCAAGCCGCTGCGACCCGTCATTCACATTGGCAGTGCTGCAGAGATGGAGTTTGGCTCCGCCGGCAAAATGCGTCCGATTCAATTGACTCCTTTCGAAGTGCAGACCTGCTACGGCGGCACCGTCGCGGGCAGGCATAATTTGGACGTCCAGGACATGCGGCGCGTGCTCGATCCCGCTTTGTGGCTGAGGGCGAGTGAAAGACTGCCTCAGATCGCTGGTCCGGCTAAGCAACTTGGCTACATGGCCGAGTACGAGTGGAACGGCACAGAGTACGAGTCGCGTTCGCCGTTCTCAGCCGTGTCTGTGTCCTGGGCATCTCGACGACGGCTAGCAGCCGGGTTTCGGGAAGATTGGTTGCAAGCGCATCGAGGCAGGAAGTCAAGAGATGAGTCGCGTGACCCGTATTGGGAAGCCGACACCGCCGGGAACACTTCCTCGTCTAGCTCTTCTTCCTCTTCAGAGGCAGACGGGGAGATCGACCTGGACAAGGCCATTCGCTGTGGAATCAGCGAAGCATTCGCAGATGGCATCAACAGCGGCTTTTACGTGAACAGACTCTGGGCGTTAGTAACTGTGCTCCAGGTGATAGGTGATAGAATGCTAGAATGGAAATAGGAGATGGTTGAGAGGTTGCGATGGAGGAAGAAGATTGGTGGAGGGGGGGGGGGCAGGACGGTAAAGAAATGCACTTACCGTAGGAACTGTTAAAGAGAGATGTGTGAACCGTGTTCTTGCTGTGTTTGTCTTCTTGATCAGGATACGACACGAAGCCGAATCAGGGATTGGGAGGCGTGCTGGAGGAGCTTCGTCGAGGCTACGGTAGTAAAATAAACTGCCGCTGACGTTTTTTGCTGCGCTTCGTCCGCTGTTCGTTGAGTTGTTATGTGTGTCCGACAGGCATCGAGCGTTTGGAGCAAGAACGCGAAAAGCGGGAAATGCTT